GCAAGCGCTCGCCATTTGCGGCGGAACCGCCGCAACGTTTGGCCGACCGTGGCGACGAAAAAACGAACGCCTGAAAGCGAAATGTTGTAGAATCGTACGGAGTGGATGCCAATCGCGTAATAAGTCCATCGATCCCTGGAATTTTTTGCATTCCATTTCCCCGGCTTGGCCTTTGGCCTGTAGGACTCTTTTGAACTCCGCTCATAATAGTTGAAAGTCCTTTTTATAACATTAAGTCTGAAACTTTTTCGCGCGACATGTTCAGCTGAGGCTAATTCATGGTTTTCAAATGGTTTCACTTCGCTGGTCAGTTGTTACGCTTATAGCAAAAGATATTCTCCTTTGTTGCACAAATCGGCGAGGCGAGAGATAAAAAAAGAGGATGGCGGGAAAGGAAAAGGGGCTGTAGGTGTTTCGTGTGAACTTATCGGTGGCCGCAAAGGTGCAGCTTTCCCTATCGCGCAAAAACCGTCGATCATCGTTGGTTGAAGGCAATCTTTCCGTGAAAAATTCCGATGCGCCGTTCAGCGATTTTCGGTCGATCGACCTGTTAAGGTGGAAGGAAAAGCGTGCTCTCCTCGGTGAATGGTTGGTCGAGGCAAGAAAACGGTGAAAAAAATAATCTACCTTCGGGCACTAAACGATATCCGTTCCAGGAATAAACACGTTCCAGCTTTTTACTTGACAGAAATATTCTGTACAACTTTTAAACGATTTTAATTACGCGCTTTTAATTAAACGATTTTATTAAAATGAATGAGTGAGGTGGACGCGTTTCACCGATAAACTCGATGATGAGACAGCAGCCTTAAAATGGGGACGAGACGCGGGGATCGCGTATGTACGTTCGTTCGCTTGATAAAAATTTCATTGGCCGCGGCGAGCTGATCGGAATCACGCGTCGCGAATAAATTTGCACGAGATTCGCGCCGGCAATGGATCACAATGAAACGGCGATCCTCTTCGCCAGATAAACGACCGATCGCGAGCTAGTCAGTTGTCGAGTCATCCACTTAATTTGCGGCCTACCAATTGATTGTCTCATGACTACCGTTCTCGTGATCGACCAGCTTCCGTGAACTCGGAGCACGTGGTGTTCGCCTTTACCCCTCAGCGCGCCGCGTCGCCGTTTCTTCGTCCGCCGGGGAATTAACTGCGCCTGATAACGAGCAATCGGATAAATTAGAATCGTTAATTCGGCTCGCGGCTATATTTAATAATGCCGCTGTTCAGTCTCTTTTTCCACTCGTTATTTCGGTGCTCGCCGGACGAGCATAGGCTAAATAATAATCTCGCTGATGACCCTGATCCCTGACCCCATCGATAAGAATGATCTGTGGAATGTTTTTCTGCTAACGATCTCGTCTAATTATTTTATCCGCTTAGAACAATCCGGCCGTAAAGTCTCGGCGAACGAAAACTCTCTTGACCGCTTCGCGGTATTATCGCACTGATAAATTGTGATGTGACGACTGATGACACTTGTGATTTAATTGTCGCGCGGTTACGAAACGACCGGACCAGTCACATGGTCAGCCATCCGTCACGCGGCTTTCTCCACGTAAACTTCACCGGGAATTATTGCTCCGCTGAACGTTACTGAGAAACGGAATTACAAGTCGTGAATTGCACAGCTTTTGTCTGTTTCGATGGATCGTGGAAATTTATCTACAATTAGTCTGTCGTCGTCGCTTCGCTTCTGCAAACTCCGTTGGCGTCAATCCTTTGTTCGCGGAAGTTGTTTGATAGTAAATCGAATTTTTCATGCATCAACCGTGTCATAAATTTTTCTACGCTTTTCCCGGATGTTGCGCCGAGTTCCCGATTTTTTAGAGAAACAGACATCCACAAGCGGACTTTGTACTTCGCGAGGAATGCGCTACTTTATTCTTCAGTCAGCGCGTAGAGGGTGGACGGCGTTCGCGCGTAGACAAAAGGTTCGAGGAATAAGTTTTGATGCGATGGGTAGAAACTCAACGGGCAAACGCGGGACGGAAGTGCGTGCGAAAAGCCGGGCGAAGAGAGCTCATTGTTTCGAGGCGCACGGGATGCAACGAGTTCTTCCTTGCGTTACGGCCGACAGTGCGGTGGTTAAAAAGGCCGAAGCTTTCGTCAACATTCGCGCGGTTTCTTCCTACGCTACGCGACCCGTATTGTTCTCCGAGTATCCGTAAAGTAACGCGCGGCCAAGTTGGAACAGCCGGCATTAAAAGCTGAAGATGAAAAAACTAGGAACAAGAGCCGGCGGCAGATGGGCAGTCCCACAGTTCTTAAAACCAACAATTATCTTCTCCTCTACCTAATCGTTAAAGGCTGGTGTTTCCTGATTACGCATTAGTTAATTTTGCTATTCGTATTCGCAAGTCATTTCTATTGACGAGAGAGCTTCATCGCGTAATATAAAGTACGTATTTATAGGAGGTGTTCGAATTACATAAACTGTTCTAGTACCTTTGGAATACATGACTCCCGGGCTACTATAATTACCAACTCTGACTACACGAAGTATGAATCATTTTGATATTGGTTAATGCAGAAATTATGTTTGCGCTCATCAAGCGCGCTTATTGACACGCGTGTACGTACAAAGTGCACGTAATTATGCGAGTCTCTTTTATTAGAAAATTGCATATTCTGCAAAGACTATTAGTGAGTGAAATATTAATTGGTTTACTGTCCCACCTCAAGCCTATCGACGAATTCTCCTCTCCTCGCTTTCTTTAATTGCTTCAGTTGGACAGAGAAGAATAAGACTCAGATTCTAACGGATTAGGGTTTTCATTTCCGCGAATCGGTACGGCGCCACACACGACCGCGGCTACTAAGTAGAAGGCAGTCTAGTCGTTTGATTTACGTACGCGTAGAAAGAGAAGACGTATCGATGCACATATCTACCTGCAACGAACTGAGCGAAATTGGCTGCGGCGCCGTACGTTTCACGGTGGATGCTCGCTTCCCCGCGGAACAAGTCACACGTGGCTCGTTCCTTCCTCTGTGATTTTCGCGGAGATGCGTGACCGCGTCAGTTCGCGCCGATTAAAGCCGAGGATCTCTTTCGAAAGTCGACAAATAGAGAGGCTGCTTCAGGCTGACTTACGAAGGTATCTGACGTATGCAAGCAATATTGTTGAAAATGTTTAAATTCACACGAGTTTTAATTAATGAAATTGTAGAAGATACAAAAGAATATTTCAGTACAAAATAATTTTGGAAATCAAAAATACTTAATAAGAAAAAAATTGTAGGAGAAAAGAAATGTTTTGAGGCACCTGAGGCCCAAACAGCTGTCTCGTTTCGAACGATTCCCAGATGATCGGTAAACTAATTGTCACATGAGGTTTCGATAGGCACGCAGAAAACAAGTGGTTCGTGTGTCACGTGCCAGCTGCGATATTTTATTGCCTTATTTATGATACGGAGATCGGCGTATCATCTGAACTGGAGCAGACGAATCCGGTTGCGTTGTATGTACGCCTCCTGGCGTTGTTTACATAATTCTTAGCGCCTCCAAGCTGAACCCGGTTTCGCGAGACCCCTCGTCTCGTAGAGGGGACGGGTGCCCGGATTTAGCGGAATCTATCACGCTTAAAGATAAACGTTCCATCAGAGAGATTCCAACGAAAATTCTCCTTCGGTTCATAGTCACACTCTTCCTTTGTCTAGATAATTTAAAGATACTCGAGATACAACAAAGGGTACTTTATCCTTCAAAGCTGCACTTTTTCGCATCGTACCTCGGCTTATCTCCATGCACCATCTATTAACGTCAGTTTACGAGGCCTTTGGGACCTCGTGCAGCTGAAAAGAGCAAACAAGAGATCAGCCGAGTAAAGTATTCTCGCAGGTTTAACCCATTTCGCTCAACGATCCGTGTTACCAGGCGAAGTTGTTTAAATACGGCGCGATACTCGAACAGCCAGACCACCGATTTCGCGTTGTAACGCCGGAAACGCGGATCGAGAACATTCGCGTGCGTGCTCGAGCACCTACTTACGTGGGTCTCGTCAACTAGAGCACCGCGTCAGCTCGAACATTCCCCGATTTTTGGAAACAACGCGGACAAGAGGTCGACGAGAAATCGTGATACATGTAAATATCAGCGTCTGCTGGAAACTGTTGAATCACTTTTCGATCCATTATGCATAATCTAATCTCAGAACGGTGTTCCGTTGCGTAATGCCAAATACAGTGTTTAAGAGATCATCCATTAGCTAATCCTAAGCCTGCCGAGTAACACAACTCCCCGGGCATACGACTTTGCAAACAAAAAGCGTTAACAGGTTGGCTCGTACGTGGCCAGCTACGTGTATAGATGCCTGCCGATTGATTTATCTATCGCTGATCGGACAGGGCTATTAGGTTCGGTAGTCAGACGAGAGGAAAACATCACGGGTGTACTTACATTAGCATGCAAACACGTCTATGCCTAACGCCTAACGATAGAAGATAAGAAAAAGCTTGAGTACATAGACATAGAAGCGGCGTTTCCTTCCACTGTCACAAGTCACACGCACCCCGTGCCCCCTCCACTTGCCGGAAGATAGTCTCGTCCGCCGTTTTCCTCGTGCTCTCCCCGCGAATGACTCGATCTCCCTCCAAGCTTCTAGCATAATAACGTCAAGTGGTTTACGGTCTGCATTCAGTCAGTGTACGCAGCGTCGTACCAATCGCGTCGGATCGAATCGATCAACAATCGAGACGGAAGCCACGCAACGTGACAATCTCGTACGGCACGCAAACGCACACGCGCGCCACTGCAGACTCGTATAATACGTGAGCCTGCTGTAAAAACGCTCGTCGTAAAAGCAACGCGATACGCGCACGTTTCGAGCACGCGACTCGACGAGAAGGAACTCGAACGCGAGACGTACGAACACGCGCTCGGGCCGCGTTCGCTTCTGGCACTCGTTGCGAGGGTAGAATTAAACACGAAGCGGTTCAGGACCTGTTCGAGACACGCCGGTAACATCGGTACGTTCTTGCTTTTCGGTATCACGAAGAACTCGAGGGTAAAGGAAGAAACAGCTTCGCTGGAGAGCCCAGGATGACGATCAACCCGTCGTCTATGGTGACGGACTACCTCGTGTTCGTCGGCTGTATCATCGCCTCGTTCGTGATACCGCTATGGGGCAAGTTTCGCGGTCGACGGAAGGAGACCACCAAAGCGGACTACGTGTTCGCCACCGGGAGCGTGTCGATGGGCGCTATGATGCTATCCATCGCCCGGAGCACCTTGGGTGTCAGATCCTTCCTCGGCTACCCGTCGGAACTCTACTACAGGGGCAGCGCCATGTGGGAGACCATATACGGGATGCTGCTCGCGTATCCCATCGTTTGTTTCGTCTTCGTACCTGTTTACTTCAGTCTCGGCATCACGTCGGTCTATCAGTATCTGGACATGAGGTAATTATCCCCGAACACGAGCTACTCTAGCCGCGTCTCGAGTTCCACGTTACCAGTTAGAACAGAACGTTCGAAACTATCTTCGTAAACCGTAACAATTTTCCTGGTTCTATGTAGACTGTTCTGAAAGTCGTCGAGAGGAAAGGAAAATGTATGCTCCGCACAGATTATCTGTTCTTGAAACGTGTATCAGGGAGTCCGGGGAAAGTTAATGGATTCCATCTAACATCTAAGCGGGGCATCGTTTCTTTCTCGTAATAGAAGCACGGCGCGGCGACGGCGTTTCGCATGGAAATCGCGCGTACACGTGACGTATTATGGGGAAATTTAAATTTGCCACGTACGCGGTATACCCGGGTGGCTCGGCGTCGCCTGAAACTGTGCGACTCTGCTTTACATTTTCAATTTACCAGCCTTGACACGAATTCTGTTGTTCCACTGCGAATCTTCTAGATTTTACAGTTAGCGATCGCCTCGAGTCTTCTATAGTAAACGCGGCGCACGCCTCTCGTTTCCCTTACGAGCAGTTTGAACTTTGATACCGTGCCGTGAACCTCGAGGCGTTTCCTCGTTTAACGATTATCTCCATCCGACATTGGATGGGATAGAATAGACCTCTTGTAATTATGCTAATTCCCTGTGCAGGTTCAAGTCGAAGCTAGTCAGATGCCTCGCGAGCTTCACATACGTGGTACGGAGCCTCCTAAACTTGGCCGTCACGGTCTTCACGCCGTGCGTCGCTCTAAAGACTGTGATTGGCCTACCGTATTGGGTAAGCATCAGCGGGATCACCACGATAGCCGTCCTGTTCAATCTCATGGTAAGTTAATTAACTTAATTTATAGTAATAAGAAACATTATAAATATCGATATTATTAATTAGAAACTCTAACGATGTCTGGTATATTCGCATGATTAATTGTTCACGAGTTGAGCGTGGAATTTCGAGTCTCGCTCTTCCTATCGAAGTAGATCATAAAACTTTCAAGCCGCTTCATTTTCACCTCGCTACTGGAACGAGTCTTATATTCGTTCACGAGCTCGTAAACCTTAATTGATAATTAAACTTGCCGGCGTCTGGCTTTTTCTGCTTCACAGGATGGTCTTAAGGCGGCCATACTGTCCGATGTGATACAAGGCCTGACGATGATCGGCGTCTCGCTTTTGGTACTCGCCAGAGGCGCAGTCGATATCGGCCCGGAGAAAATCTTAAACGTGACGTACGAACGTGGCCGATTAGATTTCTTCAAGTGAGTATAAACATCGATCTGCTGTTCAATCACCAAAATCACTTCAATCAGAGATACGTGATCTCGCGTATCTGTCGATAAGTTTTCATTGACGTGCGAGGCGTGATCCCCCCTGCTGGGGAAAATTCAAGAGCGTGTTTATGCATTCGATTCAGAATTTTTGTGAAAAGAAACATTCCGTAAGTGGCGGTAACAAAGTCTTCGCAAGGAGTTGCTGCTTTTATTATTTTATGTCTGATCGCGTTCGTGACGCGTAGTCGATTGGTACCGCAGTCATCTAAGAGCGGCAGTAAAATTAGCCGGTGTTCGTCGCGTCGTCGTTTCGATTCAAAACAGCCGTCGTCGGGAATCGGGACGGGTAGACAAAGCGCCGGGAACAAAGTAACCCCCCCGATTTATGGCTAGGGAAGTGAATGGGCTACCTGAGGACTAGCTTGAATCCGCACTTCTTTCGAAACTTGTTCAATGGATAACAAGTCTTTCTCCCCCGCGCTGCTATCTATTGTACGATTTCCACGGAGAAAGAGCCGCGGGTTCCGATCGAGGACGTCTCGATTCCAACCGAGCTAATCGAACCGATGTGTCTGTGTTTTCAGCACCGATTTGGATCCAACAATTCGTGTGACGACCATCTCGGCGATCCTCGGCCAATTATTCATAAGCCTATCCATTTTCGGTTGCCAGCAGAACTTTGTGCAAAGGTACTGCAGCATGAACAGCCTTCGACAAGTCGTTAGGTGAGTAGTTTTTCTATTATTTCTTTCAGACATGACGCCCATAAGGCCCGTATTTATAGTCATTTCTCAATTCTCAGTTCTCAACTGCTTGTTGCATATCTGTATGTTTGAGAACAGAGAACTGAGAAATGACTATAAATTCCAGCCTCTCGAGGAACGACGATCGTATGAAATTCGTTCGAAGAAGTGAATTATAATAAGCGATGGCCCATGGGTGCCTCCATGAATACGTGTCACAGTTTCGGTTTCGAGGCACGCACCCAGCATTTTACACAGATATGTAAATAAGCGTCCCGTAGATAAGCACAAAGTATTTTCCCATTGCGAAAATCAAGCGCAGTAACACAAATATAAAATGTACTTATAAGGTTTGTTAGGAAAGCGTAGGACAGAATTGAATATCTATACATAGTATGTATCTTAGAAATGGACTCGGTAATATCGTGAAAGTTATTCTGTTAGATAAACTTTTGTCAGAGCAAAATTCCAGACGTTCGATGTAATTTTTCACGATCGCCATTGTTACAGTTCCTTTTGTAGTCCCTTTTTAGGAGTCTCCCCGTCGAACAATCAAGGTCTGTAGAGATCGCCGACTGACTCGCTTCACGAGACACCAAGGCGAGACACGATTCCTCGCGACGCCACTGGGAGACTCAACCTGTATTTCCAGAAATATAATGTCAAAAGTTTGCGGATCGGTTATAGTTGTCGTACATACGTTCTGCCTCCAGCCAAACGACGTATAGGAAAATTCTGCAAGCAGCTAACTAGTCTACATGATCCTTCTTTTCTATCCTTTTTGAACCTTTCACTCGATCGAGCTTTTCAAAACTTGACGTTGGATTAACATCCAGTGAATCCTATTAACCCTTTTAGTGCCAACGACGATATATCGTCGCTTATCCGAGGGCGTCTTACTATTCGCATTGCGAGAGAACTTTACCTCAAAATAAATTTATAAATCGTTATAAACGATCTAATTTCATTGCAAAAGAATTAAAAAAATTGTTTTTGGATTTAACTTTTTGTCATATTCGAAAATGTCGGAAAATATTCTCATATAACAACGAAAAGTGTATTCTCGTAAATTTCTACCTGGTTATCCATAAAACAAAATGAAAAACAATCATGTAACTATTTTAGCCTCTTAAATAAACACATCATCTTTGTTGAGTTATCTTATCAACTGTTATTACAATTAACTGCTATTAACTTCCCGTGATGGTCACTTGCTATTACACAAACTGTTGCATTTGTTAATTGTTATTTTTACTCGTAATTAGCTGATAATCAGACAAATTATATTTATCGGACCGCGACACAAACAACTGCTGCTAATCGCTTTCAAATTTTAAAATTACTACGCGACTTGTTTAACATCAATCGCGATCAGAAGAGTTTTCAAACCGTTCAGAAATTAATCCCAATTTCTGGGGGTTCCAATCCCCAGAAAGTTTATTACACGTGTATACAAACGCGAAAAACTGATATCAGCACGCGGCATCGTATGTTTAACCATTCCCAACGAATCGTCGCTTCGCCTAGGAGATAAACGTAGCGAGCGATTTCCGAAGCAATTTATCCGTTCGTTTTCGAGCGAAACATCGCGAGGCAGGTACATATTCCGCGGTCGCGAGGCGAACGTTTTATTAGAGCATAAATCCGAATAGTCGACGCGACCTGTCCTGGTTATTATCACGATAAAAAGCCGGGCTCCAAATGGACTTTTATTAGAATGTAATCATGGCCACCCGCCTCGCGATAAAAATGTTTTGCAACGGACGGATTTTTATTAGCGGCGAACGATTCACGCTGGTTTATTACGCTTGATAAAGTTTTCATTGCGAAAATGTGTGAAAGGAGAACAAATTTTTACCGAATATCCGGCTGAAAGGCAACGCTTCCTTCTTTTTCTTGTATTCTTAAGCGATTTTGCATATTGTAAATCTGTCGTTATGATTTTCCGAGATAATTATTAATTTTCCGTTAAAGGAAACGTTTCGGGAACTGAATCGGTTGTCGCACAGTTCACCTCTCACTCTTAAAGATGTATAAGCTATACATACTTAAAC